TTATGCAATCATGGCATCGCAGCGCTGTCATAACATGCATTGTACAGCTTAGAAACAGTCCTGATGTCTGCAGTTACCTCTGTTAGATTCATCCAAACAGCACAATAAAGACTTTAGAGCTGCTGTTGGGTCCAGAGGTCTTCGGCTGCTTGATGACGAGCAACTGGCTCACCTGGCACCAGGCCAAGGAATTACCCTATCTGGCATTCCCACAGGAGCCAGGAACACAGATGTGAAGGCCACTGACCTGACCGTCTATGGGCTGGACCACTCCGCCCAGGCATCCTGCACCGGGATTGGTTTATTTCAAGTTAGAACTTCCAAATGTTGGTGCGCCATGAGAAGGCAACAGCTGCCAACGTGAGAGATGAGAACTTCAATCGGCCTGTCAAGGTGATCCTGTCCAAATCTGTCCAAAACATGTCCTATTTGGGAAATTCCTCAAAATGTCTCACCCGGTTTGTTCAAATATTGTTTCGATGCAACACTATGGAAATACAATCAACGTTTTGTCTCAGCAAACAAGATTTCTACTAAGGCTGCGCAGTATGGCCAAAAATTCATATCACGGTATTTAGAATGATTCTAACGGTATCCCAGTATGTGACGGTATAGTACACATTAATTCATTGGCGCCGAAAAGGACCACTGGCTACCCGAACAGATGTTTGCCCGCAACACAGCTTCTGTCTTGGGCACAAGTTGTGTTGGTGCACCTCTAGTCCCTTGTTGGGCTCTTTTCCGTGTTTTTATGTCGCAACAGAGTTACTTCTTGTTATGAGCTGTACCCAGCATGCAGTACAGCGGGATAATTTTATAAATGTACAATTATTAGTGTTACAAATTGTTTATGTGTCACAAGCTGTTGTGTTGTGGTGTTTTACCCTGTTAAAGAGTGTACGTTGTGGGTTATTAATTGTTTTTATAAAGTTATAACCATATCTCAACACACGTAAGTAGCTCTAACCGCTGGGCGCTCCTGGATGACATGTAAAACTAAATAAATTAAAATTAATAAAAAATTACAATTATAAATTGAAATTAAATAAACTGTCAGTGCAGTGTCCTGTAATCACACAGCGCCCCTAGAATATTAATCGGGGTCTTATTCATATTGACTCCCCCCTCGCCCCAACAAGTCAGCTGAACAAGCCTCCCCGTGTTTCCAGCAGGAGTCCTTTGTGAAAGGGCAGGCGTGGGAAAAGTCCATTAAAACAGCATTTTTATTTTCAGAAGGATTCTCAAATAACACCTGGCTGTCGACAGGTGGATTATTCCTGTCCCTTACACCTACTGATCACCAAGTGAGCAATCCAACTGGCTTTTGGTGACCACGGATGAGGGATGTTTTTTAACGCATTATAGTTTATTGTAGGACATGGGATTAGCACCTTTAAACCGTAAGGTAAGGAATGTAACTTTCATAAAAACAAAGACATAAAAAGGAATCCAAGAGTTGGTGTAGCACAGATAGAGTAAAAACAAATATTTTGAAAACAAAATCATGTTTGCTGGTTTAGCATTAAATGCATGTGGAGGTAGATCTGGAGCACATGGCAATTCATCAGTGAACAAGTTTGAACACGAGGAAAAGAAACTTGTTGCAACGTGTGCTTCGTGGGATCTAGGAACACAGGGAGATCAGATGGGTTTTTGAATGTGTAACCGAGTATTCTAATCCAACAGACAGCATGTAGGCTGCATGATGAACAGACGTGTAACCAGAGAACCACAAGGAACTGTCTCCAAACAAAGTTAAGTGTCTCAGTATGTACAAGGATTCTACATCTCCGTAGGCTAGATCTATAGGCATCACAGCCCCCTTGTCACTATGTCATTCAGTTGGGACCAAAGTAGCCTTTCATGTCTGAGATAAACTCCCACTTGTGCAATTGAGTATACCTCAATCATGTGAGCATGGTAATGACAAAACCCTGTGATCAGCTCATCCCTTAGAGCTCTCACCAAAGTAGTCAAGAGTGCAGAGCACAGGTTTCTTGACGGAAGCCACACATCATGTACTCACTTTTGTGAAAAACACACATGCTGGGAAACCACCCGAACAAACGTGCGCTAGCGGAGCAGAGCAGGAAATGCACTGTTATTGTCATCAAAGGCGCGAGACAACGGTCACTATGCCCACAAAGAGGAATTAGGACTGGACAGTATGGCCAAAAATGAATATCATAGTATTTAGAAAGATTCTGTCTGGTATGTGACGGTATTGCTTTTTCAAGAAAACACATTAATTCATTGACCCCGAAAAGGGCCGCCGGCTACTACTGGTCAACTCGCTCGCAACTGGCCGCCGAATTAGCTTGTTAGCGTGTTGTGGCTGCTATGTTGCCACCAGAGGCAATACCAGCTGCTCAACAGACTTTGCAATGAATCGTTTTCTGATCTAACTTACGTCCGATTTTTCATAACCAGAAACCCTCCAGACACAGTTCCTCTCTTGGGAACAAGTTGTTTTGGCGCATCTCTGGTCTCTCCTTGTTCCTCCTGCATCTCTCTTTATCGTGTTTTTATGTAGCAACAGAGTTACTTCTTGTTGTAAGCTGTATCCAGCATGCAGTTCGGCGGGGTAATTGTTATAAATGTACACTTACTAGTGTTACCAATAGTTTATGTGTCACAAGCATACTGTTTCAACCGGTAGACCCCGCAGCCCTAAGAGGAATGTTAATGAAGGTCTTTAACAGGGCAAACTCCCTGTTAGCTGTGCTTCTCATCCCCAAGGAGGTCCCAGCCTCCCAAGGGAGTCCCCAGATGGTTGTTGAAAAAGAAAATACAATGACACATTGTATACATTCCATCGACTGTAATGATATGAATTCAAGCAAGCAGGCTCAGAAACCACAACGTGTCCCGCCTATCCGTCATTCTTCTCCGAAGTACTTCTCCAGTACTTTGGACAGTGAGCAACTACACATGATAAATTATCCTCGGCTAGAATCCACCTTGCCGCTGCTACCGTGGAACCCACACTGTCACTAATGGCACCCAATGAAAAAAGGATTTCAGAGAGAAGCAGACAGAAAGGTGTATAAAACCTTGTTTAAGGTTGAAAGCTAGCGACAGATACACTGTAACAGCTAACTATCACGGAAAATAATGTAATTAAGGAACAACACTGTTCCCCCAAAACTGGGTAGGTCTTTATTAAGTATAACTGTCGTTCAAAAGCAAAATCAGCGTGTGTATACATTCGAGTATCACTTTTCCACAATCCACAAAAGCTCCCTGAGCATGAGGAACCATATGTAACAACTTCATGATAGTCAATAGAGCTGAGCCAGGAAGTAGTCCATCTCATGGTTAAGATGCAGATCTCTACCAGAGCCCCGAAGACCTCTTGGAGGTAAAACCCCAAAAGCATAAGCAGTAAAAACCACAATGACACACCAAAGTGATGAAAACCTCCGGTTGCTATTCCTATCGTCTTGTTAACGATCCTGTTCTGGCTCAAACCTGACCAGGCATCAGTTTTAATGAATGGGTTTCTGCCAATGTACAACTTCCCAAAGAAAAGTCGAAAAAGAGCTGCAATCAAGACCACCTTTGTTGAGATGAAATTACAAAGGAACCATGAATGATTATATAAGGAGTTGGATTTGACCAAAGAACAGTGTGTTCTATTTAACCGTAAAAGAAAACATGCACTGAATAATGTACACGAGTCATTATTTTTTGAAAACTATGATAAAAAAACCCTATTTGTTTGGTACTTATGTTGATTTCAATTTCAACATGATCATTGTAGATTAAAATAGGCACATTGATGCCTGATACTACATAATATAACAATTTTATTATTGCTAGACAGGAAAAAGATATGAAACCCTTGGTGGAACTTGCATAAGCCTGAGTCCAAATATCGTGCCCTCCTCCTCACATTTCCATCGTCCAGTTGTTCAATCTCCCTCAGGCGGAGACATCACTCATCAAGACAAAATGCCAATGAACTCTGGGCATCGGATGGGGCGGAGGATAGGTGGATGGTGTGTGTGTGTGTGTGTTTTCATTGGGTTGGAGTGCAGACTAAAATATCTCCGTGCTGTACCAAGCTATAACAGCAATAATATGTGTAGCTATGTAATAATAATGTAGCTGTTTAATTAAAGATTTGTAATCTCTTGTTTGCTTTACAAGGTTCATGACCAAAAAGCGAGTGATTAGTTAAAAAGTAAGTACCAATGAGTTACACTTCCAAATGTCCAGGGTTTGGGTTAAAGGTATGGGGGTAGGCGGGGGACAGAAAAAAATTGGGGGCCATTCGGCGCTATGTGCACCTAAAAACATAACCTCCTCTTTAGGAGTGATTCATATCATGAAAAGCCAGGTGCCTTTCTAACCTATTACATTAATCTGGTTCCAGTGATCACACACACACAAGGCAGAGTGATTTTCACTATGTGACCTTTGCTGCCCCTCACCCCCCCCACACACACCACAACAATGTATATTATTATACATAATATAGGTAGATTTACAAGAATTTGTGTTTTTTAAATCTCATACACACCCCCCACGAGAGACTTCACTTGATGTCTGTTAAAACGTTTAACTCTTTTCTACTATTACTTTTTTTTACAGCAGCCTCTAAATGAGGCTGCACCTCCACACCCTGACTTCTGCACCCGTCGAACCGTGGGGGGAAACCAGAGCCGCCACACACGGGGACAGTGTCGGGTTTCCTACCCGGAAAGACGCCCTCCGACCCCGCCAGTCGCTATACTTTGCCTCCCCTTCTTTCTCTCACCGGGAAAAGGGAAACGTGACCTCTAGCTGACGTGTTAGCTTATTATATTGCGAAGTTTACCGAAAACCGAAATTCCGAAAAGAAGACCGCAGCGAGCTCGTTCTGCCCTTCCTTAAATATCCACATTTAGCTTAACATAAATCCCACATTTAACACCATTAAGGAAATATTTAGACCAAACGTAGAAACTATATTATCACCAACGACCCGAAGTTGTCAGTTGCCCCCCACTCTTCACCTGTCTTGAAGCGGAGGTCATCGTCCTCCTCGGAGCCGAACTCCCGCAGGAGGGATAGGAAGAGGATCCCGAAGGCGTTCTGGATCCCGAACACCGAGCCGTTGCACCACATGGCCGCGAGCATGACTACCCAGCCCCAGCCGCCTTCGGGGTGAACAAACTCAACCTCCCCCGCTTGCTCTAACACGGCCCCCCCGCTGTCTCCGTTCACCTTCTCCTCGTCCTTCTCATCACGGTCCCCCGGCAGCCTCTCCTCCGCGAGCACGGCGGTGGGCGCCTCATTCCGACCCGCCGCATCACTTTCCCCCAGCATCGGACTCCCGCCTTCTGGCATCGTCTCTTTATTTTACTGTCAGGTATGCGACGGAGAACCAAGAAAAAAACGTCTCTGAAACAATCACGGCTTTGGGGTCACGGTGAAGTAGCCGGTCTGAGGGTGGTGCCGAGCGGCGCAGCATCTGGTCCTACAGTTGCTGTCAAAAAGTCGCTGTTGCGATATTATAAATAGACAGCGCTCGGGGGCGGAGCTACGGGGGATCCGGTGCTGATTGGACGCCTACATTCAACCTGGACGAAGCAGTGAAATAAATGACATACATACGCAATACTTGAATTCGCACATACGTTTCACGAGACTAGTGGTAGAATAAAACACACACGGCATAATGGTATCTTCCTTTCTGCTCCCCCAGTTTTAAATCGCTCACTTCCCCTTTTCTTCCAGCGGCTATAAATAGACAAACTGCAAGGCAAGCAGATGGACAGACATGCAGAAGGATGTGTGCAGTGAGCAGAACAAAAAAAGTGGGTAACTGTGGTAGGAGATCATAAGATAAAGGGGGCAGAAAAACAAAACTGCTTTAGATGGGGAAATAACTTGATTGATGACGTTATATACATGACACAATGTCAGCAACTTGATTGGATAATATTTTAAGTGTGAAAACTCAAACAGTGAAGTGCTGAGGCCACCTTTGTACCCACCTTTTTTAAACTTAATTTCCTGAAACAAAAGTTACCTACATTAACACATATTTAGATATGTCTTATGTAAAGAGAAAGCTAATCATAGAAACATTGTACTTTATGGTGATTTAATGTCTGTTCAACTTTCTTCCTACAAATTCAGCTAGATAACGATTGGTTTAATTATGTGTGTATAGCCTTCTGTGCCAATTAAAAATAATAGAAGCGTCACACTATTTTGTGAGAGTGGAATGATCCATCTTAGTCAAGTCCACAGTGATGTTCCTGACTCCTGATGACCGAGACTGAGGGTTGAAACCAAATCTAGACCGAGAGCAGACCTATGCGAGTTCTACAGTGCACGACACACATAAAATAAAAGACAATACAAATGTGCAACATGCAAAACAAGTCGCTTTTCAAATTGATCTTAAAGATCCACTTTGCCATAAATTTAAAAAAAAAAATCTTTTACAGTCATAAGTCAAAAAAAAGTGTACAGACTGCATTTTTAAGGGTTGTTTACTGCGGTTCTTGTCTCAATTTTAGCATGTTTCATTCCTGACAGACCATAATTCAATAAATGCTGTGTTGAACAACACCAGAAACTAGCTAATCAGAGCATTAAATAAGTCAGTCATTTTCTCGTGGACATCTATAAAATCCTGACTTCTTTTGTGTAATAAAGTTCCACATTGCCTGATTTGTATGCAGGAATTTTTCATTTTTTTCTATGATTAATGATTTGGCAATTTAGTGATATCCCTGCAGTCTTGAAATCAATAAAGTACCCACAACGGCCTTGAGGTCTCGACCTATCCAGAGTGCTACAACAGCCGGAATGAAGGAAAATAGTCTGACTTAATGATATGAACAAAAGTCATGGGGAGCACAAAAACACAGGAAAATCACCTAGTGTCATTCATTGACAGCTTTATTTCCTTTAAAGTGAGTACAGATGGTGATATTCAACTTTTACACATCCATTTATAAACAAAAATCAGTTAATTCAGGCAGACTTCCTGTACTTCTGCCAATGGAAAACATAGTTTTTTTTGGTTTCCTGATGATATGGCCTTCCGAGAAAGGGCTGAGCCCACACACTAACGATGCTCAAGACAAAGAAGTATCTGAGTCAGATGGAGATACAGGGCAAATGAATAGGGGCAGGAATAAAGGGGGGCATGAATAAAGGATACCCATGCTCCTCCCTCTCCAGCACAAGCTGCACGGTCAGTCTCATAAACAAGGTCCTGGGACGTTGATCTGTACGCACACAGAGACGCCAACTCAGCCTTCCACTTTGGCCACTTTGGGCACCTGCACGTCCTTGTCTTCGGCGACTGCTGCACCCCTCCTCTTCCTCAGGCCCTTCATCTTTCGCGTCTGCAGCTTGGACAGATCCTGCTTCTGCATGTGCACCCGGCCAAACTTGGTACCAAAGGCGTCGCGGGAAATGTTCTTCTTCTTCCTGACCTGTGACGCAGATAAAGAGAAAGCGACATGACCATTTAACTGTAGCTGTATTTCAGAGGACTTTTGTGTGTGTATTTTACAGTTGGTAAATTCACCTTATTCCATACTATTTTTTTTGACTAGTTACATTCATTCAATATTTACATTAAATGGAAACATTGTAAATTCCCCTTCAGCTGTATAAAAATTCATATTTCAACACATATTGGTCAACTTCAAGATGTACCAAAACACACGTTCTATGGCTTTGGAAATTGTTGGGCTGCACAGCATGAGTGAAGAGAGACTTGCCCAATGCCGGGTCAGTGTGGAGGTTAATGCTTAAGTTAGAATGCTAATCATGGATCACTGATAAGCTGAGAGCCCAACCTGGTTAAAGGTTGGACTAAACCTGACAATGTAGAGTGGAATAGGTTCTAAAATGGGAACCATGCAGCGGTTCCAGGTAACAATATGGTCTATCCTCTGGCGCCACCCTCAGGACAAATTGAGCAGTTTTTAATGCACTGATGAGCAGAGGCTTCATGTGGGCTGTCACAAGATACTTTTGAGTATAAATAATATGGTCGTAATTATAGAAGAGTCTACTAAGGCAGCAACAACGAATCAATGAAATTCGATTATTAAAAGTTTTGGCAACAAATTTCCTTATTGATTTGTTGTGTCTCACGATTATTACGTCACTCAATGAGTTGCGGAAATGCGTGCAGAGCAAAAATAAAAATAAAAGAGCCAAGCAGACATAGAAGAAGGAGCAGCCAGCAGCGCCTGCAGTTGTGAGTCACATGCCGCAGGCAGAGAATTCTGTTCGACCTAAGTCGTCCAAGGTATGGGAGCATTTCACACAAATAATCTAAAAAAGCGTGTAAATGGCAAAATATGCAAAGTCAATGTAACACCGCATGGGAGCACCACGTTGTCCTGTTTTGACGTGAGGGATGTAAGGAGCCTCCGGCAGCTGCTGCTGTTTACTTGTTATCCAGCTGATCAAGCCAGCGTTAGCTCACTAATAACAGCAGTAGAGGGTTGGCGGTTCGATCCCAGGCCCAGCTAACCCGCATGTCGATGGGCAAGACATTTAACGCAGTGTGTGAATGTTAGTTACTGATGGGCAGGTGGCACTGTGTTTGGTAGCTACGGTCATCAGTGTATGAATGGGTGAATGATGTCATGTAATGTTAAATGATGTCATGTAGTGATAGTCGGAAGACTAGAAAAGTGCTATACAAGTACAGTCCATTTACTTTTTAGCTGTGGTGTATACATTTACTTAACTTGCACTACAATTATGGCAATAGATTAATGAATAAGCTTCAAGTGAACATGGAGGTGTGTTTCTTAGTGTAGTGTAGAGAACAAGTTCGGACGTTAAAACAAATCCTGTTAAATTTTATAATTTGTATTTTTCTTTATTTTTTATAATTATTATTTTCAAGAAGCTACCTGTTTGTGGACTTTCTGAAGTATTTTTGCAATGTGAAGTTGCAAATTAAAGCTTTTTAAAAATCTGATTCATCGATTGATCAAAATAATCATAGTTGCAGCGTTAGTAGTAGTAATGTAGTAGAAAGTAAACCCATCCTTGAAAATTCATGAGGGGTGAAAGGAGGAGGGGGCACAACATAACCGCAGAGAGTTAAGTGTAATCCAAAAAGTGAGCCAATTTAGAATAATCTGTCATACAACAAGGCTAGGTGCAGTTTGATTTTCTTAAACTTCCCATTGAGACAACCCATGTTTGGCCACCACACCACAGCCACGTTATGTAATGAGACCTCAAGCTCTTAACATGGCCTTTTGATTCTTCTGACAACAATTCTAAACGTATCTGATTAAGATCATAGACAAAACATGTAAGGTAATAATAATGATCCAGTATCGGCGGTAATTCAGGGGTGAAAGACTAACTTTACCTTCAGAGCTTTGGGCCGCCTGTGAGAAAACTTGAACAGGTCATCTGAAGCCAGATGTGTTCTTCTCAAGACCAAGTCAAACGACGGCCCGATCTCCTCGAGCTCAATGCGCGGCGTGCGGCACCCGGACTTCTTCAACAGAGATCTGCAGAGCAAGATGTCAATCATGATGTCAATATCTCAGTTGTGAGGGATGCAAGCCCATCGCAGACCAATTTAGATCCAAACCAAATCTAAAAAATGACATCAAACTAAATCCAATTGACCTGTAGCTGCGCATGTAGATTTTCCCCTCCAGGGCTGTGAAGTGCAAAACGTGCTCTAAACCCGCCAGACGCACCGCAGACACGGCGGGACCCCTGAAGAAGTCTGGCAGGCGGGACAGACAAACAGACGAGGTCGGATGTTAGCAGTGGAACCACAGAGACACATTGACGCAGTGGAATTAGTGGTCACCTATGAAAAGACTCTTCAGACGCCTGTATTCGTTGTCGGTGTCAAAAGCGTCCCCGGCAAACACAAGCATGGGCTTGGTCCCCTCGGGACATTTGCTGCTCTGTAACAAAAAGAAAAAAAACAAAAGAAACTGACAGTAACGTCGCTGTTTTTTGCAGGATGGCTGATGGCCTGTAATAATCTGTATATGACGTATCAGTAGACAGTAATGTTTTAACTCTACTTTAGATTGCCGAACCAAAATAAGTACTACAAACAACGTGCTAATGATTCAACACCTGCCTTTAAATATATTAATTGAGAGAATTGGAGGCAAACAAACAATTGCTCAACCACTGCACTAATGTGTGCTCAAGGTATACCAAACTAAAAGTAACCATAGCAACAACCTAGATGTTTTTTTTGCCATTTGAGCTAACCCTTTAAAAATAAAAATAAAAATAACATGACAGCCGCGCATTACCTTGATATCACTTAGAGAGATGTACTTCTCAATCCCCAGCTCAATCATATCCAGCACGTGGAAGTCAAACAGACGACCTGCACACAGACCAAAGGAACAATGACACAGAATATTTTCCCTGCGGTGCCATATTTTTTCCAAAGTTAATTAAGTTCATGGCAACCCATTGGTGGGAATTATTACAACATATAGCATATACAGACACACTAGCTGTCAAAACAAAATTACAGATTTAGAAAACTAATCCAGTAGGATTTATTCGGAAATATTTTACTGAGGTTCAGTAGAAAATATGTACGTATATTACATCGGTACAGTGAGATATTAAGCAAAAAAAAAGAAGAATGAACCAAATATGAGGTTGTTGGGCCGTTTCTTGCTGTGGGAGCCAAACAGAAACAGGGAGCAGTCGGACTTCTTGGAGAAGAATTCCTGATCAAGAGAGCGAGGATTAGCATAAGACAGGACAGTCGGGTTGAGTATCAATAAGGGGTTTATGGGAGGCGGAGGGCCTTCTGGTGCGCTTACCAGTGACGTTGAGTCCTCAAATGGACGTGTTATGTTCTTCCTGAAGTGAGAGAAAATAGAGTTAGCCCAACAGGCTTCCTGCCACTCAAACAGTATCAGTAACAGTGTCCTCTGCAACATTTTTCACTCAAACACTCGAGAGGGAGCATTGTTTTCATATTTACATTAGGATTTTTACATCTCTTTACCAAAGGGATCTCAGAGAACACCAACAATCAGAAAGGAAAGGAAGTTATGGAAATGGGCCTTGTTGTTCAACATCCATCTATGGCAGGGGTGGGCAAACTATAGCCCGCGGGCCGGATCCGACCCGTTGGGTGTTTTGATCTGGCCCGCCGAGTATTATGAATTATAAATTATAGTAACGGCCGCTATAACAATTCTCCGTTGCCGACTTGAGTTTCCCAAAGCACGATGACGGCAAAAGACCAGCATCGATGTTTCTTAACTCAAGTCGGGAATGGAGAAGCGTTACAGCGGTCTTTAAGTGCAGTGCGGCAGAGGACAGCTGTGCCGTGCTTTCTGCAGCGCATCAGGCTGCGAGTCCAGCTGCTGCCGTCTGCGCAGCTCACCTCCCCCCCACAGGGAAGCTCGCCACGGAGACGTGGTCCGTTTTATACGGCAAAAACGAACGCACATCAGACGCACGGGACCGCGCTGCCCTGCGCGCTCAGTATAACAATCGGGAAAGCTGATGGTTTTCCAAAGCTGAGCGGCGCAGATTGGCTTTGTGATTTTGCTGTGAACATACTGACACACATGAATGAGCTGAACATGAAGCTACAAGGGAAAGATCAGTTTGTGCATGAAAATGTATACATTGAGAGAGACAAGTTTGCAAACAGAGGATGCTGGTGTTGTTTGGCTCTACTTAGGTGGTTGAGCAGACGTTCAGCGTGATGAAAACCAACATATCACGCCACAGATCCCAGTTAACGGATGAACACCTCAGATCTGTCCTGAGAATTGCCAGAACAAAGTTGACAGCAAACTATCATGCACTAGCAAAAAAGGGGGACCAACAACACTGTTCCCACTGAAATGCAATGTAATGTAAAAATGTAAGTTCACTTTACTTTTTAGTTATTGGCTTTTAATTATAATTTATATTGGTTGAGATAAACACTCTCTATCCACCTGATACCGGCCGGCCCGTCGGTCAAATTTTAAAAGTCAATGTGGCCCCTGAGCCAAAAAGTTTGCCCAGCCCTGATCTATGGTGTTGCATTCTCAGCAGAAAACAGGACATGAAATATAGATTGTGAACAAACAAAATTAAATTATACTAAGTTATTATTTAGAATGTGATTAAATGTTCGGAATGGTTTTGAATAGTAACGAATAGAAAAAAATGACACATACACATTTTGACCAATGGATTTCCATTACTTTTCCATGAAAATTTTGAAATCTCGGTGTATACATGAAAGTGAGAAAATGTACTTAAATGAGAATTCCAAGATATACAGTGTTTCTCCTACCATTCAATTAAGCACCAAGAAAGTATTTTTTTTACAATTATCCACTATGGATACTTTTAAAACCAGTGACTGAACCTACTTTTTTTTACTTCAAATTATGGACAATATATGAAAGGTTAACAGTATACGTACAGTCTCTGTGAGAGCCAAAAGATGTATTACTTCATTGTAATTTGGGGAATAATCATTTAATTTATGCTCATTGTGAAAGAACTAAAGATATGTAACATATCTAGAAAGTATTCATGTTGGATTGACGCTCCTAGTGTGTCTCGATGCATTGACGCCATGATTGCAATAGGTGCAACACAGAAGAGCTGCATCAGGCACGAGAGCATATCGTTTATCTACCGTGTGACAGAACTTATTGATTGTATATTAAGTTGCCGCTTTGCTGCGTAAAATAAAGAAAAAACAAAAAGAATCAAACAATCTCCTTTCATTCACGTAAGAAAATGAAATCACGCGTCTGCAGCTCAATACGTATCACTGACAAACAACACTGAAGGAACAACGCTACGCCCTCTGTGTATAACTCCGCCCCCACCAGCAGACGGGCAGTGCGCGTCAGAAATTGTTGGTGTCACGTACAGAGCTGGTAGCCGAAGAGAGATGGGGTTTCAGCGGCACATTGATGTCTGTCCTTTAGCGTGGCTCATTAATGCCGCTCTCCCAAATATCGAAGGTTTTGCTTCCACGTTACTTACATTTTGCTTGTCCCGGGTCTTAGTTTGATGTAACTCATGACATGCACTTTTCCATATATATCCAATCTACACTTCCCTGGCACAGTGGATGATTCCTGGGCTACTGTTTTTACGCCCACCGAACTTTTCGGTTAAGGTGTGTTCACACAAACCGTGGTGCGAATTATTTATAATTAAGTATTTATTTTGAGCGTCTCTCTTTAAAACCATATGAATTGTTTCAAACGTATCTTAAATGAATCACATGAACATATAATATAACAAATTTCAATGACTTTTCCAAGGCTGGAAATGACCATTTTTAAATATCAGGACTTTCCCAGATTTTCCATGACCGTACAAACCCTGGTAAGAGTTAAAAACAAAGGAATGTCAAAGTAATTGCATCAACAATACTCTATTTCCTTCAGACTTTCTTGATCATCTTAGTAATTGCACTTACTTCTTGAACAACACAGCATTGGGCTTCTTCAAGGCATACTGCAGGAACAAAAAAATCACAATCACTCAGGGTGAGTGAGCATTTTTGATTTATTTAGTATGCTGTTATGCTATTATATTAAGGGAATAACGCAATAGAACCAGCAAAGCACTGTATAGTATTTAGTGTGAATGGCAGAGAAATGTTTCTGGTTTCAATGCACATTCATATTTCACTCCTAAAACATAAAATAACATTATAAGTTAAAAATATCCACCCTAAATAGACTTGGAGTACACTGGGAGTGCCAATGTCCTTCTCCACTTAGACGAAAAGGTGAGAAACTACCCTTCTACGTGGATGAACGAGTTCAGAGTTTTTAATCCTTCACTACTCATTAAACCTTTAGAACGTGCCATCTGGGCAGGAAGCCTTTGTCCCTGTCGGGTCACTTACTATGTCCTTGAGGGCCTGGGTGACGGTCAGACTGGAGTTCCCCCCTTTCATAATCATGGCGGTCTTCACGTCCTCTGTCAGCTTGGGCGCTCTGCCCTCCAAGAAGCGCTTGGCACGCTTCGTCTTGGGTTTTCTGAGGACAAACACACAAACAAATGCAAGAGATGACCCTCTACACACTGCTGTTCACCCCTACACAAAAAACATATAGTAAAAAAAAAAAAAAAAAGGTAATCAGATTTACAACATCTGTTTTGGAAATTAATGCTATTAACAGTTTATCTTGTAATGTTGCTGGATATGTCGGTCGTTTTCATTTGTGAGCTAAACGAAATATAATACATGTCATATGCAATACGAATGAATATATTGCTTCCATATTAACATTACACGATTTAGTTTCAGATTTAAGACAACGATGCTAACCACAAGTAATAAGGAATACATATTCTAATGATGCTGCTTATTCTTCTCAGCCTACAGATGCATTATCCTTATAGATCACTAGTTTATTAAACGTAAGATAATTAAATATTAGAAAGAAATATTGATCCGCATGTGATGAAAAGGGAACTTAATCTTTATTAGAAGTTGAAATATTATTTTCAGCGGACAGGTCAGCAGACCAAACTCTTCGTAAATAACAGTGCATCGAGCAGCTAAGTCAACAACACGTGTTGACGCAAGATACACAACTTAAATCTTCAGCTGACTGATATTTGGAAAAAACACAGAGACAATATATTAGTTTGCACTGGATGTAGAAAACCATAAAACAATTCCACCACGAGTTACAGCGAGACTATCGCGTAACTAGTTCGGACTCCACTTTGAGCTACTGTTAGCTCAAACTACCACGCTAAGCTAAAGTTAGCGCTTCTCACACGGTTACGAGTCCTGCACACAGAAAGTTACACGCGGACGCTCGAACACGGTGAGCTCAAAGGAGTACATTGTCCAACTTACACTATACCGTCAAACTTCGGCATTTTGGGTGTCTTTAGTGGTTTTCCTGCCGGATGGATGAGCTCTTACGGTGCAGTTCCTCCACGTGAATACGAGCGGCGGAAGTCAACATTGGCGATGATCTTCTTCGTTGGTGTAGGGTTGGTAGATTTCCTGCTTCGAGTGAGTTAACGTCATCTAGTGTCGCGCTTCCACAACACATCGCATACTGTTCACTAGGGGGAGCTACAGACCAGGACATGTCAATGTTCTATTATGTACTAGTTTTCAATAACTTCTTACTCCATACTTGACAACTAATTTACATTTAGTTGGTGTAAAATATTACGTGGCCTTCACAAGCAATGCTTACACACCGCGATTCTGAATGGCCATTCAGCAGTACATTGTAGATGACCAAGGGATACTATATTATTTTTAGGAGATTGTAAATTATTATCACTTTTCCCTATGATATAAAAGGGATGGCATCTAATCAAATTTTTGTAACTGGATATTTAAAAAAAACCTTCACATTTGATTTAAAAATGTAAAATCAGCTAAAAGCAACATTTTTTTAATGACTGTCTCTATATACTGCACGTGTTTATGTTGTCAGGTTTTTGCAGTTTGATTTTATAGTATATAGTTATAGTTTAAATTTTATAGTAAAAATAATTCATTACTTTTACTCTATCCTGCAAGGTCTCGCTTTGAGGAAATCAATAATTATAAAACTTAGGTAAATATGCAAGTATAAGTTGGCATCAATTAACTCGTGAGCGTTTCACCTGTTGCCCTAAAATCGCACCATCTTTTTCTTCTCAATAAAGACCTCAACAAGTTGCACAGATAAGCCTATTTTTTTATTGAAGCATCAAGCTCGTAGCAGATATATTTAGCACATCTTGACCATCCAAATAACAGCAAAAGGAAGAATTTGAATAGCAAAATTTCTCCTTCAGTGCATCCTGCAACTGCACCCCCTTCTGACCCGAGGGCGGGGGGGGCTTTCCCCCCTCAGCATCCAATGTGAAAACACAAACATTTCAGCTTTGAAAAGGTCATGCCGCAATGTCAAAACAAATTGGTTTCACAACAAAATTACTATTTGGACAAAAAAAGTTTAAAAAGGGGAAAGCAAAAAAAATGGGTTTTAAAAACAAATTGAGATTGGTCCCAGTCCAAACCCCCCCCCCCCCCCCAAAAACCTTTGAATTGTAATACAATTTTCTACAAAAAAAAACCAAAACAACTTTTGAGTTTGCGGTGTGATACCTATCCATCTATAGATATATACATAGTTATAAAAAGAACCGTACCATAATGATCCAAAAGAACAAGTCTCAATTATACTTACTCTAGTAAATAAAACCGCTAATTTTGAGCCGCTGTGCAACATGTGTGACGAAAAAAAAGGAATCTAACAGTCAATGCGTTGAGAACATTTCATGACTGGGTGTATGGAAAAAAACAACGAGGCCACAAAAAAAAAAAAAGGGGGGGGTCCCCTTTGCTACGTGGTGGTCCAGCTCGCGGGTTCAAGAGCGCGTTCTCTGGCAGGAGAAGCGTTGTGAACGCAGCGGAGCCAGGCGGAGGGCACTGACCGGATTCAAGCTTCAAAAGGATTACAAATAAGAAACCCCTCCAAGTACAGTTAGTTTGAAAGTGAATCCTAGGGGAAGACATTTTTATTCATAAATTCAGTCCATGCGTTTTGCAAAACACGTCAGGGTACGATCTAAGTTGGTACAAAAAAGAAAAAGGTGAAGCACACAGACGAAGAGGAGATATAAGAGATGGCGCTAAGCTACAATGTCAAGCTACAATGCATGTCACATTTTTGACCATTCAGTGCAAAAAAAAAAAAAATAAAAAATAAAAATCAATGTAATCAATTGGCATGTGGAATGATCCTGGGTCACCCTGGCATGCTCAGATCGGCGGGCGGCTATTGCGTGTGTACGCATTTCTGTATGAGGGGGCTTGGGAGTAGAAAGAAGATGGATATTATATGTGAAGCACTTTGCTGGGCTAACGAAGTAAAACGTGTGACTCATTTAACCCCCCCACACACCATTCAGAATGGGAGCAGTCTCGTCATGGTTCTGGCGGAAAGGGGGTTTGGTGGTGGAAGAGACCTGCGGCCAGCTGCACAAAGGTTTGTCAGCGAGGGCATTGTGCATGCTGGCGGCGGGGGGGGGGGGGGGGGGGGGTGTGACTGGGTGCGCTACTGGAGTTGTACATTCGGCTCGAACCTGGTCGAGGCTTTTTTCTAGGGACGGGTACATTCAAAAGACAGCGGGAGGGGGGGTAGCTACATTCAGTTTCCCCACTTTGTGTGAGTGTGGAAATTAAGAGTGGGAATATGAATATGACTGGAGGAAAGATGGGGGGGGGGGCTAAGACCTAGACGCTTCCTATAGATACAGCATTCTGTAAAAAGAAAAAAAGGAAAGTCTAGTCTTCAATGATTCACACAAAACATTTTCCAGGCTTTCAAAAGCCTGTCTATTTGGTGGGGGGCACACGGACAACATGACTGATTGTCTGTTTCTAAGTAGGAGCACAAATAAGTGAACGCTGGTGGAAGTCAGCACCAAAGCAAAGCTGAAGGTCTTTTCCGTTTCCTCCCATTAGTGCACAAGACATTGAGCCAATAGACAAAGATTAAAACCGCGGTATGCAACCGAAGGGACGCCAAAGGTTTGCCACAGCGACCCAAGGAACGGCAAAGGAGCTCACCACGACTTATACATTCAGGTAGACAAAGAGAAATAAAATCAAAAAATATAAAGGCAGGCCTTCTTTTCTTTATTGTACCAAGAGCAAACTATTTTTATTTAAAGTGCACCCAAAAAAAGGAAAAGACTGGTTGTGTTTCATTAATAAATAGAGCAGATTGTTTTGGTTTGGACGATTTATTAACCCTTGGGAGGGAGGGCAAGGAATGGAAGAGCCAAGCGGGTGGATGGAACCGCGCAAGGAGGATGAACCGATCTGAGCACGCCAGGGGCCCCGGCCTAGTGCGGCCGGAAGCCTTGTCTGTGGGGGATGAGGGAGGACACCTGCAGGAGGGGGCAGTCGCGCTCAGCAGGCGGGCGCGAGCGGCGCACGTTCAATTTCTCTGCGTTCGCCTCGAGGTCACACCAAGAGAGAGCTAGAATATCGCCACGGGAAGAAGAGCTTTCATGCAAGAGATCTAAGTCACGGGAACAACAACGCAAACAACTCAGATGGGGGGTTAAGCCGGGGCCCACGGCCGCACCGGGAGGGCCCGAGCCGCGGTGGGCGAGGGAGGAAGAGGAGGACAAGCGCTCTACGGGGGGCAAAGGCCGGCCGTAGGTGCGGCGCGGCCATGAGCGGGAACTTTTCTTTCTGCGCCTCTTCTCCATCCTTGACCCTCAGCTCTGCTGGTTCTGCTGGCGGCTCTTTGCGTAGCTTGTGAAGACGAAATTGTACTCGTTAAATTGAGCGAGCTGGCGATCCAGACGCTTGTAGCCGTCCACCTTCTGGGCGGGAGAAAAGATGCTGCGACATTTCGAGCTCTGTGGGGGCAAAACAAATCTAGTTACATTTGAATAAATCAATGAAAGCTACAAAAAAAAAACAAAAAAAAAAAAAACACCACCCACCTGATTGACAAAAAGCGTGGTCACAAACTTTCCCGGCTTGAAAACCTCCACCACCTTGCTGACCAGGTCGTCATACGACGTCTGGGAGAGGTTGGTTTCAAAGCTGACATAGGAGAACTCCGGCTCCGGTGTGATGTGGATGGTCCAGTAAGTTCCCTGGGGAGGCCGATGCAAGCACAGAGAGCCACGTTACACGAGACGCTGGAGCGGATTGCTGCGGCGACCAGGGCCAAGACGGGGGATAACTCACGTCGGTCTTCATGCCATTCATTGAGTAGCCACATGGGTTGAACATTGTGGCATCGATCACAGAACCTGGTATCAGGTCACGAATTCCACTCATCTGCAACAAGAGAGGACAACGTCTAATGCGGTGTTCACACCAAAAGCGAAGCGAATTATTTGCGCGAGTAGATTCCATGCAAAGTCAATGCGCACACACGCTACTGGTCGCGAAGGAAGCAAACTTTAAACGGGCGGTGCGGAGGACGCAAAAAAGCGAAGCGAATAAAACTCCCGTGGTCTTGCAAAAGCCAATCAGCATGGAGGTGCTGCGCTCGACATCTCCGCTGTCCTACTGCCAAAACGTGAATACACTTTATGAAACAGACTGAATGCCGGTTAGTTAGTCGTTTCTAACCGAGAGACTGTGGCACAGAGCCGACACAACAGGTCATGAAACCGGCTGCTGGTTAGCCTGAAGTAGCGCTGGAAGCGGCGGTCATCCAGACGCACTTCCTGGAGGAGTTGTGTGTGGCGATGTCACAACCCCCGGTGTGTAATTGACACAAAGAGCAGAAATAGTGGAAATTATAATAACCGTCTTTACGGAAAATTCAGGGGAAAATAAAGCGAGACACGAATGAAGCGAAATAACTAGTCGTGAGTGTAAAGCATGGCGAAAATTCGCTTTTGGTGTGAACGCAGCATAAAACAGAGCTTCACAACCCACTAACATCAGACGGCAGGAAGGTACTTACACGAGTGACATCACTTGCAGAAACACCATCTTTCATATAGAACTGGTCCATAATGGCTGGATCGAGGTCACTCATCAGAACTTCCAGCGTCTGATCCGCATGCTTGTTCTCCCAGTACTCTGGTAAGTCCAGGGTAAACAGGTACCTGAGGGCGCAGGGACCAAAAGTATTTTCATATAATAAAGGACAGGCATTCATATCATAATGGAGTTTTCCTTAACCATTTTGTTTTTGCTCTTCGAAATGAGCCCTCCTGTGTGACCCGATGTAGGTTCCCATATAACATTCTACATGTATCCTCATAAACAGATTACTGCTGCGTGGCGGCCACATTTGTTTGGATCCGAAAGGCACAATTATACAAACATGGCAACCAATTGCTGTCAGCAACAGCTGTGAGCGGTCACATGACTTGTCATCAAGGGAGTCTTGAGGCCTTGAAGACTGCGTTGTAACAGCTACAGTTCCCAATCTGAAAGAACTTAGACTTAAAAATGGGTGAAAATATTGTGTATTCTCGAACATGCATTTTGAATTTAAATTGCTCTGGTCACA